AACGGCAGTCCTTGCTATAACTCCTGAAGATCTGTCTTTGGTAAGTTAGTGGAAGATCTGTCTTTGGTAAGTTAGTGCAGATGCTTAGATCATATTGTTCCAGTTTTGCTTTAGGTTGATAAATTCTAATAATGACAGTGAAGTGAGGCACAAGACTAAGCCTTAAAATCCCTTAAGTAGCTATTTGCTACCTTGTAACACTATTCCTGTTTCAGTTGTTGAAACACTCATTCACAACATGTTGAAGTACTGAGGAAACCTGATCCTGTACTGAGAGAGATTCAGTTTCTTTTGGTAAGAGTTGTTGGCAGCTGAATAGCAGGGTGTCTCTTGTGTCCTGAAATCATTTATTGACCACTTAAATGTCTTAACTGTTATACACAGTAAAAAGACCTTTACAGGTATATTCACTTTATACCTAAGGAGTTGTTGCTTAACTATGTATTCAGTCATGTGTTTAGTAAGGTTGCTAATGATTTATGTTGTAATGTGTATTTAATATTTCTTATTTAATCATACCATTAGGAGGATAGACTTAAATTTAGCAACTTATAGCCCTTACATTTACTGTCTTATGAATACTAAAATGTATAATCTTTACCTTTTATATTTTTAAAAATAACTTTTCCACATATTTTAAAAAGATTTAATTTTGATTTTTAGGGGGATTTTGAAAATCCTACCAATATTTTGAGGCATTGTCTTTCTTTAGTTCATCAATATTTGTCACTAGGACTTAAAGGTCATAAATATTAATCTGTTACTGTAATTAAAAACTAGAGTGTCACTTAAAAGCAAAGTTATTGAAGATAAGTCTAGGAATTTTAAGATTTTTTTTAATGCAAATTGGAATGTTTGTTTATGAATAGTGCTGAGTGGGTGAAATTGCTGTTGTATCTAGAAGGTGGTGACAAAAATGCTTATTGGGTTTTTTTTTTGTAAATGAAATCAAGTTCTCTAAGTTATTTCATTGTGAGACTAATAAGCATTGTTTTTCCAAAATACAATGGTTCTTTATTAGGAAGTCTGATTATCAAAGGGTCATGTATACATAACACAGTAAGTTGAAATTTAGAGAAACTTTCATAAAACATTCCCTAATTTTTACTTATTTAAAATTACCTCCTTCATATATTTTGGTATTGTTTAAATTTTGCTTTCATAGACATTATTTATTGTTTTATGACCTAGAGAAAGAACTTTTAGAATGAAATAATATGCCTGATATTTTTCTTATGTGCTTCAGTGGAGAATGCCATCCGTTCATTTTGTGGTAGATAATGATAGGGAAGTTGGGTGACAAAAGCATTTAAAAATGTTAAGGCTCTAGCTTAAGCTACTAAGTGATCTACTTCTCTCCTTTGCCAAATCATTTAATGTATTCTATTTTAATGTTTAAATACACAAACAGAATAAATTATTTCAATATTGAAAGGTAAGATAAAAGGCAATAGATGCACATCTCTTGGTATCTTAATTTTTATTCCTGATCAGTAGTAGCTTTACTACTATGCGATTTAATTATGTTGTTCTTTTTTTGAAGACCTAATTTGTATGTTGACATAAATGCAGACTAGATGAAAAAATCTGGCATGCCTGTGAATGTTCTGTTGTGTAATATGTGCTTTTCTTAATTATTTTTAACATGCAGTTGGCATAATTTGTTATAAATGTATTTATGGCTTACCACAGCATATTAGGTAAAATTAACTCTCAACATTTTATTATGGTTGGTGTTGTACATTTCCCCATCATTTACATTTAATTTGTGGATCTGATCCATAAAAGTACATCCCAAAGACCTTTGGGCCTCTGGTACTTCTTGGAGTAGGATATGGAATGTGAAAGAGACTATCTTGTAACTATCTTGGTAGCAGAATAACCTTATAAAAGGCCACCCTGGGAATTAATGAGCAATGTTGTCATTCAGAATTCATTCGACAAATATTTATTGAATCCCTACTACATGCCAGGCTTGCTGCTAGATACTGAAAATACAAAAGTAAGACACTCCTTGACCTCAAGCTGCTGTTCAAGTTGAGACCCAGCAGCCACTCATCAGGGATTTTGAATAGGGAATTCAGACATTGGCTAGGGGACTACACTAGTTGATCTTTAAGGAAGATTTCCTTAGAACCCCTAATCTGTAACTCTGTTAGTGGGATTGTGTGAGAATAGGAGATCAAATAAGGGACAGAAACTAGAGAGGGATGGATGTTTAAATGTACTAACAATTATTTAAGGTGGCATTTGAAGTGTAGAAACATAGATATACATGAGTTTGTCTTTTTTTTTTTTTTTTTTTTTAAGATGAGGCAACCCTTGGTTGACCTCACAGATTGCAAGGACCTTGTCAGTTTACAATCCTTCATTTTTTATTTTGTTATGCCTACAGCACCTGGTCTTCCTAGGTGGTCTCCCATCCAATAAAGATACTTGAGTTTAAATCATGAATAAAAGTAAAACTTACACAAATCAAGCTGTAGAGTTTTGAAATGATCAAAATTGAGTCAGATTTTAAGTCAAGATCTTTGGCCGAAGTTTAGAATTTGCTATTCTGAAGATTTGAGATTCCAGATATCCATAATAGGAAAACTTTTTGAACATATAAATCAGTTTTAGTAATTTTAATTTTAAAAATCTGGAAACAGTTTATTTCTTGGGCAGTACATTGTTTCAAATATAAAACTGATTTAAAGTGGAATTTTTATTTTCTGAATAATGAATTTAACAAATGACTTATAGAAAAGAAATTCTTATTTAATTCAAGCTGATCTTATATTTCCTTGATTTGTTAGTGTGAGCTTATCCATGCTAATTAACACCTCTTTTATCATACAGTGTTGGGGTGGCAAATGTTCTGCCTAAGTGAATTTTCTGGATAATGAAGCTACTTTTCTCAGCACCATGTTTTTTAAAACTTTAAACTTTGTCATGAATTCTACAATGTCTTAATAGTTTTCAGTCTTTTTAAGTGGTACGTAGTATGGTATATATGTATCTGACATACTATTTATATGTGGTATAAATATAGAATATAATTTAATGATGTCATGTTGACTCAAGACTTCTTAAACATTGGTTACTATACTATGTTGTGATAAGGGTCGGGGACAGTTGAGATATATTGAATTATTTGCCTACCCTATAAAAAATCTCTCAAATTGTTTCGCTTTTTGAATCAGTTTTTATATTTACGTTCTGTAATTCTCCTCTCCTTAGGCTGTCAACTGTCACCCAGCATCTATCATTTAGTATTTCTGTTGCCAGCAGTCAGCTCCCTTTCTAATTTACTGGTAGAACTGAGCTGTAGATTGAGAAACTATGTAAACAAGTGATTGGTTTACTTTATTAATAAGCAGTTGATTTTGCCTCAGATTCTGAACTTCTTTAGAATATTTGATCAGGATTATGAAGTTTTTTGTTTTTGTTTTTTTAAATCTACTCTAGAGGCTAGAGGCCATCACTGAATCCTCAACTCTTTAATCCTTTAAAAATGTGATTCTGTACCCCCCTTCCCCCCGCCCCATCATCTTGTGGTCTTGTTAGTTTTTCAAACTTCTTGCCTAGTGATTCTCAACAAAAATGTCAGTCTCCTACCAATACAAATTACTGTATTTTTGTTTTTGGCTTTTAATTGGCTTTGAATCATCTAATTGGTCAAGTTATGTAATGTATGCTCCAAAGCTGTTTCCTTTCCATTTTCAGCCTGTTGTGTTGGCACAGTGGGTTACTTCTCAGGCCTCTCCTGAGGTTTTTCATCCCTCATTGGTTTCTTCCATTAGCAAGAGCTCCCTGATCAAACCATGGACAGTTTATGAATTGGTTTTGCTTTAATCACAACTGCTTAGCATCTGGAGATATTTTCATTCATTTTACTTAGTTTCTTGGTTCTGAACTGAATATTAGGATGTCAGGTGGGACAGTTTTCCTAATTCCTTGGTATTTAGTGGCTGTCCCCCTGAGTGTGGTGTTTATCCATCCTCGAATAAGGATGTCATTCTCCACACACCTTAGCTAGTTGCAGAAGGGAATGGAGCCTCTCAGAGGCAGGGTCCAAAGAATATCCAGCTCTCCTTTTTGTCCCATCTTTCCTTTATCTCAATCCCAATTCCCTTCTCCCTCACTCTTAGATTTGTCTGTTAACCTCCTACATTTGTTGCTCACCTGAACCATGCCTCCTTTCAGTTCATTTTCCCCTTCTCCATTAGTGAATTGCCCTCTTTTAAGACACCCTTTTCCCAAAAGAGCAGGGTAATTACTATAATATGAAATATTTGTGTGTATACGGAGGGGAGACAAAGTAATAAAGCAAACCAAAATAAGGGAGCAGTTAGTAACACAGGTTATTTATTCTTTCTCAGTTTCTGAACCTCAGTCTTCTAACCTATAAAACAGATAATGATATCTACATAATGAAGTATTTGTTAGACTTAAGCAGGATGTATAAAGTTTTTATCAGGTAGATTCATTAAGTAGCCAGTTACCTTTTTTATTTACAGGTACAGTTTATGAGGAAATATGGTTTACTGATATGTGTTATTAGCAAAGTGGATTCACATTTAGTTTGGCAAAGTATTTATTGATGTAGAATGTTACATGCTAATAAATACAATATGAATGGAGTATATTCTAGCTGATTGTAGAAGAACCAACTTATAAATGCTGTACATTTGCAGAATACTATTATTTAAAATGGATTTAAAAAATAGATTCCATAAGTATAAAATTGGATCAGATCACTTGTGGGAATCCATGTTAACATGCATAGTGAAACTTCTTGTGATGGGAGAGTTCATGTAGCAGTCTCTTTGAGTTTCAAGTGACTAGACATGGTACTTTAAGGAAAGATTGTCTTATTAGAAGATGACCGTAATTAATGTAACTCTTCTTTGTCAGGGTTCTCCAGAGATACCCTAAGGCCCTATCAGATTGACACATTAAAATTTTAACCATAATATCTTCTCTCCATAAACTTTCCCTTCTGCATTTTTCTACAGATAGATACACCATCAGGAATGGAATTACCGTCATGGTATCCTGTTATAAAGCAGGAACATGATCATGTTTCTCAGACACATTCATTATTACACCCCAGGTGAGTGGATATTAGCTCGTTAGTTTATTCATTTGTTTGTTGGTTCATTCATTCATTAATTTATTCAACCAACATCTATATGTTAGGTCTGTTCTAGGCTTTGGGAATTCATTATTTAGCTTTACTTTCTTATTAATCAGTGAAATGAATTATAAATTGTGTTGAATATTTAAGATAACCTTTTCTTGTATTTCTGTGTTATTTTCTAGAAAGAGGTCATTTCCCCTTTTCCCTGAAGTAAAAAATGAAAGTTTTCTTTTAATTTCCTTACTTCCTTTCAAGAGGTAAACCAACTCTTCAAGAGTCTAGTGTGCAAGTTTGATGTTTTAAAAAGAAATCTTTTTGAAAATTAGAAGCTTTCATTGTAACTACACCCCTCACTCAAAATCAAGTTTTTATATTTTAAATAAAAATTATCTTAGTTCGATCTTAGTTTTGCAGTTTGTTATTGCTGTTTTATCAAATACTTAGGAAGTACTAAAGTATTTTAGGAAGATTGTTCTGTGGAGTTTGATTCAAGGACTGCCCAGTAGCTGGGGCAGCATTCAGAGTGCCTGTTCTCTCTCAGAGCTTTGTAAGGGCCCTGGGAGCTCCTCATTAGGCCTGTGGTTAACCCAGCCATAGCCATACAGGGCGGGACTGAATCAGCCTCACTATAACAAAGAGCAATGATTTCTTCCTTTGGAGGGGTGATAGGCAAGAAAATGGTCCTCCAAAGTAGCATATAGTCTTGATTTCTTTCTGGCATAAACCTTACCTACTCAGAGCTGTAAAGTACTTCATGCTCTTAGTTCTCAAGTGGTTTTGAAGGTAGGAGAAGAGACTGATTTTCTTTTCCAGTGAGTACCTTTTTTGTGCTTAGAAATTACTTTGTGCAAAATAACAAAAATTTCTTGTAATTTTGCTCTTATTGCCTAAAGTACTGACTTTTTCAAGAATTCTTTTTTATGCCCCTTATTTTCTGAGTTGTTATGTTGTCTGTTTTGGTGGAAAAAAAAAAAAAAAAAAGTTTAACCATTGAAATAGATGTAACACATTTTGCTTTTTACCTAAAGGTAACACATGTCTTATTATGCCTTTCTTTGTTTTCAGCTACTACTTATACATGTGTGATAAAGTGGTTGCCCCAAATGTGTCACTTACTTCTGCTGTATCCCAGTCTAAAGAGATCACAAAGACAGAGGCAAGTAGATCCTTACCACGACAGTCAGAGAAGCCTCACAGTAGTGGGAAACATCAGAAAACAGTGTCTTATCCAGATGTCTCACTGGAGGAACAGGAAAAAATGGATTTAAAAACAAGTAGAGAATTATGTAGCCGTTTAGGTAAGTATTCAGAACTTATCTTTTTAAAAATCAAGTGTCTAATAAACACCTATTCAGCATTTTCAAAGAGGATTTCTATTTAAGAGAACTTTTCAGGTAATTGAAGCTTTTATTGTAGAAAATGCCACCTTTCAAAATTCGGAGTGACTATTTAGAACCTCAGTTGCTGTACTTTTGTAGAATGGCGATAGTTATAGAGGCTAATGAGATTGATGTATAGGCTACATGGCTTCATACTGCAAGTGATTTTTGTCTAATTACTTTTTCCCCTTCCTGCCTTTTCTTTGCTGTCAGATTTCTTCAGAAGGTCCTTATTTTTCTTTCTAATTTGCTGTGAACTGAGAACCTGTTTAATAATGCTAAGAAGTATATGGAACAGTAGTTGGGTATAGGACTCAGGGAAACTTAGTCGTGGGATAAGGAAGGATAGAAAACTCATAGCTGTGGGAGCCAGGCAGATGGCATGAATGCAGAACGCTGGCTGGATATCTAAAAAAAAAAGCTGCCTAGTTACAGCGCAGACCAAACAAGATATGTTTGCTTAAATGCTTCTTATATTACCCTCCATGTAGCTGCAGAGCTTTGCTTATAGCTTAGATAAGTTTAACAGTTATTTCAGCTTTTTGAGAGCAGTTGAAGAGTCTTCTAGTCATTTAACTGTTTACATAGATAATTGAGATTCTTGGGGAGTTTTCTGTACTTTAATTTTGAGATTTTTAAAGTTTAGTTTTCTTTGGATTTAAATATGGTAAATAATTTGAATGTACCTTTATACTCTATTTTCATTATATTTTATTTCCCAGGTTAATGAATTCTAGTACCTTAAAATAATTGAGATATAATTCATACCTTGAAATTTATGCTTTTAATGGGTATAATTCAGTGGTTTTTTAGTAAATTCACAAAAGTTGTGCAATGATCACAACTGCTTAATTTCAGAACATTTTCTTCACCCTAAAAGAAACCCTGGAATCCATTAGAAGTTACTGTCTATTCTCCCCGTTCCCCAGCCTCTGTCAACCACTAATCTAGTTTCTGTCTTTATAGACTCTGGACATTTTCATATAAAAGAGATCATACAATATGTTGTGGCCTTTTGTTGTTTGGCTTCTTTCGCTAAGCATATTTTTTCAGTTCATGTTGTACTTTCCTCTTTTATGGCTCAATAATATTCTATTGTGTGGATAGATATTTACCATGTTTTGTTCATCAGTTGATGGACATTTGTATTGTGTCTACTTTTTGGCTGTTCTAAACACTTACGCACACGTTTTAATGTGGATGTATGTTTTCATTTCTCTTGGGTATATATTTAGGAGTGAAATTGTTGTTTGATGTGGTAACTCTATGTTTAACATAGACTGTCAAACTGTTTTTCAAAGCAGCTGCACAATTTCATTCCCACTAGCACTTTATGAGGGTTCTAATTTCTGCATCTTTGTCAACACTTGTTATTGTCTGTCTTTTTGATTATAACCATCCTAGTGGTTGTGAAGTGGTATTTCATGGTTTTGATTTACAGTCCTCAGTGACTAATGATATTGAGTGTTTTTTCATGTTTTTATTGGACATTGCAAATCTGGAGAAATATATATTTAGATCCTTTGCCTATTTTAAAATTGGGTTATTTCTCTTTATATTGGGTTTTAAGAGCTCCTTATATATTCTGGATACTAGACCTTTATCAGATATATCATTTGCCATTTTGTCTGTTGTCTTTTCATTTTCTTGTTAGTGTCCTTTGAAGCACGCAAGTTCTAAAGTTTGATGAAATCTAATTTATTTTTTCTTTGGTTCTCTATAGGTGTCATGTCTAAAACACCAAGGTCACAAAGATTTACATAGAAGAGTCTTAGCTCTTACAGTTAGGTCTTTTATGCATTTTGAGTTACTTTTTATATATGGTATGAGGTTCAACTTCATTGTTTGTACGTGGATACAGTTGTCTCAGCACTGTCAAAAAGAATATTCTCTCCTGATTGAATTGTCATGGTGCCTTTGTTGAAAACCTGTTGCCCATATAAGTATGGGTTTATTTATGATCTTAATCCTTATGCCAGTACTATACACAGTCTTGATTTCTGTAGCTTTGTAATAAGCTGTGAGTCCTCAACTTTGTTACTCTTTTTCAAGATTGTTTTGGCTATTTTGGATTCTTTGCATTTCTATATGAATTTTAGAATTAGCTTGTCAGTTTCTGCCACAAAGCCAACTGGGATTTTGATATATATTGCATTGAAAAAGTAGATTAGTTTGGTGAGTATTACCAGCTGTCTTAGTCCATTTGGGATGCTATAGCAAAAGTACCATAGACTGGGTAGCTTACACTTGGGTTCCCCAATCCCTGGGCCACAGACCGGTACCAGTCCATGCATGGTCTGTTAGGAATTGGGTTGCACAGCAGGAGATAAGTGGTGGGCAAGTGAGTAAAACTTCATCTGTATATGCAGTCGCACCCCAGTGCTTCAGCGCCACCTTAGATCATCAGGCATTAGATTCTCATAGGAGCACTGGTCCTTGGTGCCAAAAAGGTTGGGGACTGCTGGTATCATAAACATTTATTTTTCACAGTTCTGGAGGAACTGTGTAAGGTCAAGGCATCAGCAAATTTGGTGTATGGCAAGGGCCTGCTTCCTGGTTCATAGCCATCATCTTTTTTATTTTTTTTTAATGCCTACAGCACCTAGTCTTCCTAGGTGGTCTCCCATGCAAGTACAAACCAGGCCTGACCCTGCTTAGCTTCCAAGATCAGACGAGATCGGGTGTGTTCAGGGTGGCATGGCCGTAGACAATAGCCATCTTCTTACTGGGTCCTCACATGGTTGAAAGCATAGGAGAGCTCTCTGGAATCTCTTTTATAAGGGCATAAATCCCATCGTAGTGGCTCTATATGTATGACCTAATCACCTCCCAGAGGCCCCACCTCCTAATACCATCACATTGGCAGTCAGGATTTCAACATACGAATTCTAGGCAGGAAGGTGTCACTAACATTCAGTTCATGACACCTTCTTAACAATATTAAGTCTTCTAATCCATGAACATGGGATACCTTTCCATTTATTTAGGTCTTTAATTTCTTTCAATGATGTTGTGTGGTTTTTATTGTTCGAGTCTTGTACGATTTTTGTTAAATTTATAAGTATTTTTTTATTTCATTTGTAAATGGGATTAGTTTTTAATCTATGGATTGCTCTAGTGACTTTTTAAGAGTGATATTCATACTCTTTTTCTTCATTTTTGCTTTATAAAGATCCATTCATCTCAAATAATTCTGTAAGTAAAAAGAAACCCGAGTCTACCACTTGCAACTCAGTCAGAGACACAAGCAAGGCGGGAATTGACCATGATACTGCAGCTTCATCTCCACTTCTTGTCAAAGATGTCATTTGTGAGGATGATAAGGGAAAAATCATGGAAGAAGCAATGAGAACTTATGTAAAACAGCAAGAAAAATTGGACTCAATTTTGCAGAAGAAGCAACAACTTCAGATGGTAAAATTATTATCTAAATAATAGCCCATTATGAAAAAATACTTTTGCATATTCTTAAGATAAATCAAGATGAGATGCTGCTGATATATTTAAGATTATTCAGTTTTATACTCAAGCAATTTTAATGTACTTTGTTTTTAGAGAAAATAGTTTTTCAAGATAATTACTTCTACATAAAACTGATATGACAACTGACTTTTAGCTATTATATGTCCTGTTTTTCCTGAATTGAAATTTTTAACATGATAGAAATAAAGTAAATACAATTTATATTGTGATTTTTTAATATTACAGGAAGTTGAATTGTTGAATAGTTCAAAAGCTATGAAGGAACTCACTGAAGAACAGCAGAATTTACAGAAAGAGCTTGAATCTTTACAGAATGAACATGCTCAAAGAATGGAAGAATTTTATGTTGAACAGAAAGACTTAGAGAAAAAATTAGAGCAGGTAATGAAGCAAAAATGTACTTGCGACTCAAATTTGGAAAAAGACAAAGAAGCTGAATATGCGGCACAGGTAAGAATTACTGTTTGTAGTGCCCTTTCAACATGGAAATTGAAGCTGTTAAAGAAATTATTTTTTGTCAAGCTCATTTTATTGGGTTAGATTTCAAAATAGTTCTGTTATAGATAACTTTATGCTATATCATCCAAGGTGATTTTTTGACCTCGATTGCTTTATTACTTTAAACTTTTATTGGGTTTCCATAGTTTAGTTGCCCAAATTGCTAATCTCCATCTGAATATCAAGTGTTATATTATATTTTAATGTAGCTTTACATTAGCTTTCAGACCAACAAATTAATAAACATGAACTGTTGTCCACTGTTTAAAAACACTGGAGCAAAAATGAACTTGGAGAAGATGAACAAATAACACTTAACATGAGTAGGCGGTGATGATGAGAGGTGTGCTAAAGCTAGTGCATAATGAAAATATGCTAGGTGTTCAGTTCTCTCAACCCTTTGTTTTTCCTTCAGTTCAATGTCATATCAAAGTCAGATTAATAGTATTAGATATTCAAAAGATTGTAGTATGCATTAAATAGCTCATTTTATAAAGATGAATTTGAAGGAAGATCTTTGCCATTATGTGAGGATTAAATGGAAACACAAAACTGAATGAAAACTGACAAAGTTGTTTTAAATCACACAGTTGGCAGAATTAAGACAGAGATTGGACCATGCCGAGGCGGATAGGCAAGAACTCCAAGATGAACTCAGACAGGAACGGGAGGCAAGACAGAAGTTAGAAATGATGATAAAAGAGCTAAAGCTGCAGATTTTGAAATCAAAGACTGCTAAAGAATAGAAACCTTTAAAGAGATTCGTCTGTGTATTCTCGACAGGGTTTATTTTGTTTGTTTGCTTTGCTAATTGAATTCCGAACCGTTTATCTGCATGAAGATAACTTAGGTGTTTTATCCATTTGTAGATCAGAGAAAATGAAGAAATTATATATATTAGTACATAAATTTTTACATTTTCCAAATGAATGGAAATGTATGTTTCTTTGTACTTTTTTTTTGCAACCAGCTTAGTAACAGTACTCTGTGGTTTCAACTATTAGATGACCTGCCTATATTTCTAATGCAAATTTAACAGTTGCATACTTTTTAAAAGCTGCATTGTATGGTGGAAAATAATTGTGGTCAATTTTGTTATCCATATTTCAGACTCAATTTTAGATAACAATGGTGGTGTCATATTTCAAATATATAGAGCTTAAGGGGTTGAATCTCCAGTTTTTTCCATTAACGATCTACTTTCTAAGTTGATATATTTATTATTATATACAAAATTTGCTTTTATTTTGTTCATACTGTGGAGTGAATTTCCATCAGTTTTCTTCTTTTTAATGTCTCCTAAGAGACATTTTATCAAAAGAAGAATTTCATTGATGAAGTTATAGCACACCCCGTGGGCATAAATGGGGAATGATAGTATGCTTTGTTATAATCCTGCTGCTAAACACAAGAAGCAGTTGTAATTTGATTTTTGGTTTATACGTGGTTATATTTAGAATTATTTTTTTTATGAGGAAATGTCAGGAGAGAGAGAATAAAATGTAAAAGTTTCTGAACTTTTGTTTATGTTAATAGTGGTGTGAAATGTTAATGTTCTTGAGAAAAACTGATACTGTTGATGTACATCAGTTTCTATACAATCCATAATCTTCCTGTACAGTTTTTATATGTAGTTATGGGTCTTACTGAAATTTATATAATTTGTTTTCCTTTAAATTGTAAAATATTAAATGCCTTGAAGGTTATTTTGGACTTTTGTATGTTTAAATGTTGTCTTATCAAAATTTGCCCGAATGGACCATTTCAATTACTACTTATTATCAAAATCAGGAATTTACAGTCAACTGATTAGTGTATGATAGGTTAATATAGTCATCTGCTACTAAAAGATTTTTAGATAATTTTTAGAAGAGAGGAATTCTGTAGTTTGGTAGAGGGGCAACATCTTCTGCACTTTTTTTTTTTTTTTGCACAGTAAAGTCTCATTCCTTAATGGCAAATTTCTTATTAGTTAATTCGTGGCTTAAAAGATATTCAGTAAAATTCTTAGTATGCATTTTTTAAAAGAAGTTTCCTGAAGCTACTATTAATTGATATTCTTATCCCATGAATTTTATGTTTCTCATGTTCTTGCATAAGGTACTGAATGAAATTACTTGAGAGCTAAGTTTATTTTTAAAATAAATCAGCTAGAGTTAAGGTTATATGCTGTTCCCAGCGTAAATGATAGCTACTCAAATGATACAGATCTTCAAAAATCAGTAGGTTAAACTAGTTATTTTTATATTTTGCTTAGTGATACTAATGTATCCTAAATGAATTTTTGTACTTCCTTTTTTTTTTTTTTTAGGTGAGGCAACCCTTGATTGACCTCACAGATTGCAAGGACCTTGTCAATTTACAACCTTTTATTTTTTTATTTTTTACACCTACAGCACCTGATCTTTCTTGGTGGTCTCCCATCCAAGTACTAACCAGGCCTGACCCTGCTTAGCTTGAGATCAGACAGGATCGGGCTTATGAATTTTTGTACTCCCCAAAGTATAGTTTCTTCGCAAGAGTGTAATCTAAATGTGTATTATCTATTTTCCATTTAAATTTTACTGTATCAATCCTGCAATTAAATTTGTTGACTTTTAGAATCTTCTCAAGGAGGAACAAATGTAAAAATGACGTAGAGGAACAAATTTAAAATGACCTACCCTCATAATACTTTTTATTTAGATCTGGAGAAAGAAAAATCACAAAGACATTTTATGATACAGTTTCGCTTTAGTTGTGAATTACCCGTGTTACAGCTAAGGTTTTTAAGAGACAAACTCAAGCTCCTGTAGTTTCATTTATTTTTCTAATTCACTCAAGATCTTTCTGTTTGTTATTTAGTAAATGTTAAATTTACTTAAGTTTCAACCCAAAACTTCTAAAATAAATTGCTTCATCTTTGCAATATTTTACTTAGAATTGCAAAATTCTAAGCAATGCTTAAACACTTTATCATAAACTTTTAATTTAGAATTGAGTAAAGAAATATTTTTTCTAGTTCTTCACATAATGAAAACTTGTTACGTGAAATTGTGTAGTCTTCATTTTCCAGAAGATACTTCGATGTGCCATAGGTTTCTGTCTTAACTTCCTTGAAAATAGTTTTTTAGTCACTTGTAAATATTATACCTATTCTAGTTAAAAATAATTTTAAGTTAAACTGCACCACATAGCTTGAAAATATAGAGATTTTGTAATATTTTAAAAGTGGCCTCTATCACATCTCAGCCTTTTGGCTAAGATCAAGTGTAGTATCTGTTTTTGTCAGTTTAATAAAAGTGTCCTCTGCTAAAATATCTTATCCATATAAACTTATTCTTCTATTCTTTGCATGCTCATTTTGTGTGTTGATTGCTAGTTTAAAGTTTGTGTTGTTTTGTGTGCTAAATCATTAGGTAAGCAGATTTTCCCTCAGATTTTGTAATGTTCTTTTTAGGAAAAATATAAAAATGCTTTAAAAAGCTGCATTGAAGGAACGGCCTATCGAGAGTGCTAGAGCATCTTTAGAAGGAAGAAAAGATAGAATACTAGCTTACTGGGTGATGGGTGATATTTAATTTGGGTGATGATAGTTTCTGTACTCTATGAGAAAAAGGTACCAAATCTATAAAGGTAGTAAATGTAAAATCTGCTGTCTTCGAGGAAGCTCAAAACCACCCTAATTTCATAAATGCAACTTGTAACACTATGAAAAGATTTAACCAACAACATAGGTTTGGCTTGTGCTTTAGTTTTGTGAAGCATATTCTTTAGCTTGAATTTCTGTGTCCATGAGAATTAGGATGCTTTTATGCTTCTTGAACTAATTTTATAGTATACTTAATATATTACCTATTGAGATATAAAATCATTTGTACATATTGAATTAAAAACCAGTTACTAAAGTAGGTGAAATAGACCAAGTACAATGATATTTGCAGGTTATCCATATATTTTTAGACAAAACAACCAATTTATTTGCACACCTGTGACTTTTTGAAGGAAAATAAAATGATAAGGAAACTCAATATGAAACATGCTCAAGGTATTTCTCTAAAATTAATTGTAAATCTGGTGCTGAAGGCTTTTGATGAGCTAAAATTTTCTTCTTAATGAAAAGACATATTTTGATTGTTTAGGGACTAATCTTCATTTTTATTTGCTTTTGTGCATTTAATTCATACAACAGGACATTAAAAATTAACAACAAAAGTTGTGCTCATACTGTATATCTATTTCTGTGCTTGGAACTACTTGTTTATAGTTTATATTGAAGCTGTCAGCAATAAGGGACATATTACTGCTGTATTATACATTGTGGGATTGAATAAACGGCTTAATTTTTTTTCAAGTATAGAGTACTTAAGCATTTCCATTATTGGAAAAATTCATGTAGGTATTCTATATTACATTTTGTTTAAAAGGACAGTGTTTTGGTTTTTTTGTTTTTGTAAAATCTTTCCATTTTAAATGGCTTTAAACTACACAATAAAAATTGGGGCCTTTTTTTTTAAGTAATAGAATTAAATGTCTTATATAGTGCTACTGTTTTTGAATTAGAAAGTGTTCAAATGTAAAAACTAAAATTTAAAAATTAAGCCCAGAAAACAAAATAGTATATTAAATTAGTTGAATGTAAAAGAATTTATAAGATTTTTTTTTCTTTAATATAGATACCTCATTTGAAAATAAAGCACAGCATACTTAAAGTAGTTCTAGTTTAAAAAAGTCCTACTAAAAATTGCTAAATATAGGATATCTTTTGGGGAATTATAGTTTGGGGGAAGTAAAATATACATGCTTTCAACCATTCTGTTAGAAGTATTTGTTTATCCTGATACTATTAAGCCAACACAGTAGTCTTAAATTATTTCAGAATTTTTAATCTGTGAAGGCAGTAAATGAAATACCTGTTCTGCAACTGTTGAAATAAATTGTTGACTATATTGACCATAATTCAATTTAAAAATTTGCCAATGATGTATAGTTTTATGGTTAAAATTGCTGTGGTTGGTTGCATTACATGACACAAAACTGTCCTCTACCTCACGTGAAATAAATATTTTATATGGTTTTACTATAAAACAAGACTCATCTATCTGGTTACTTAGTTTACAAATTTTGAATTATATTTATTGAAACATGACATACTGTGCTCTTAGCTTATACCTCAATTGTATTTTGTGCTGTTTCCATTTTCATGCCTTGTAAATAACTTGTGTAGATCGTGGATTGAATTCCAAATGAAAACTTTTAATGCCAATAAAATTGATTCAAGCCATCTTAGTATCCTGTATGAGCTCTACTTTCTTGTCCCTTAAGGTTGACATTTTCTCCTTTGCTCCTTTAAAGTCTTATTCATTACACACTGAGTGATTGAGTTGAGAAACCTTTTTTAAATTATACAATGTGAAATTTATGCAATATTTCAGGTGATGAATATACTGGCATTTAGTGATTATTCTCTTTCATGATACTTGGTGTAATGCTTTAACTTAGCACATACCCACAACTCTGGTATTAGTTATCCATTACTGTATAACAAATTACTCCAAAGTTCAGCACCTTACAGCAACAAATATCTCACACAGTATCTGAAGGGCAGAAATCCAAGAGTAGGTTAGCTGAGTGCTGGCTCAGGAGTCTTAGAAGGGTGCAATTTTATGTTATCTGGGCTGAAGTTTTGGTGTTACCTGGTGACTGCTTCTAAGCTCTCACATGGCTATTGACAGCCACTCAAGTTCCTCACTGTGTGCACCTGTCATGGAGCCCTTCATAACAGTGATCCAAAGGAGAGAAAGTGATGCCACAATCTGATGACCTGGATTCTTAAGTCACACACTTACTTTTACCCTATCCTATTTATTAGAAGTGAGTCATTAAATCTGGTCTATATCAATTCTAGGGATTACACAAGAGTGCGAATACCAGTAGTCAGGGATCATTGAAGGCCATCTTAGAGTCTGGTTACCATACCCTCCAATTATTTTTTTCTGTGGCAAAATATACATACCATAAAAGGTGTATAATTCAGTGGCAGTAGGTACATTCACAATGTTGCAGAACTATCACCACAATTTCCAGAACTTTTTCATTATCTGAAACAGACTATACCTATTAAACAATAACACCCTATTCACCTCTCTCCCTCAGCTTTTGATATCCTCTATTCTATTTTCTGTCTATGAGCAGAATCATAAATATTTGTTCTTTTGTGTCTGACTTCTTTCACTTAGCATGCTTTTATGGTACAACCACGTGTCATAAGTCCTTTCCTTTTAAGGCTGAACAATCCATTGTGTGTGTGTGTGTGTGTGTGTGTACTACATTCTGTTTGTCCATTCATCTATTGATGGACATTTCGGGTTGTTTGCACACTTTAGCTATTAGAATAATGCTGCTATGAACATTGTTTTACAAGTATCTGTTTAAGTCCCTGCTTAATACTTTTGGGTACATACACACTAAGAGGTGGAATTGCTGGATCATATGGTAATTCTATATTTAACTTTTTAAAAAGCATTTTATTAGTTTCATTATATTGGTTAAACATATGTTTACCTTTTTGAGGAATCGCCAAACTTCATTACAGCAGCTGCTTCATTTTACGTTCTCACCAGGAATGCATAAGGTTTCTAATTTTTTTCATATGCTCTTCAGCACTTATTTTCCATTTTATTGGTAATAGCCATCCTAATGGATGTGAAGTGTTATTTCATTGTGGTTTGATTTGCATTTCCTTAGTGACTAATGGCACTGAACATCTTTTCATGTGCTTATTGGCCTTTCGTATATCTTTAAAGAAATGTCTGTTCAAGTCCTTTGCCTATTTTTTAATTGGGTTTTTTGTTGTTGGGTTGTAGGAGTTATATATTCTGGATATTGGTCCCTTGTCAGATAGATGATTTGCAAATATATTCTTCCATTCTGTAAGCTACCTTTTCACTCTTAATAGTGTCCTTTGATGTACAAAAGTTTTAAATTTTGACGAAGTCCAGTTTATCTGTGTTTTCTTTTATTGTCTGGGTTTTTGGTGTCATAGCCAAGAAATCACTGCCAAATCCAATGTCATGAAGATTTCCCCCTATATTTTCTTTTAAGGGTTTTATATTTTTAGTTTTTACATTTAGGTCTTTGATCCATTTTGAGTTAATTTTGTATATAGTGTAAGGTAAGAGTTCTGATTTTATTCTTTTGTATATGAGTATCCAGTTCCCACCATTTGGTGAAAACTATCCTTTCCATTGAATGGTTTTGACACCTTTGTTGAAAATCATTGCTCATGTATGTGAGGGTTTATTTCTGGGCTGTTTTATTCCAATGGTCTATGTATCTGTTCTTATGCCAGTACCACACTGTTTTGATTATGGTAGCTTAGTAGTAAGTTTTAAAATGAGGAAATGTGAGTCTTCCAAATTTGTTCTTTTTTAAAAGATTGTTTTGGCTCTTTGGGGTCTCTTGAAATTCTATATAAATTTTAGCATGAGATTTTCTATTTTTACAAAAAAAAGGGTGTTGAATTTTATCATATTGGTATTCTGATAGGGATTGCATTGAATCTATGGAGCACTTTGGATAGGATTGTCATCTTAACCATGTTGTCTTCCAACCTGTGAATTTGGAATGTGTACCCATTTATTTATGTCATCTTAAATTTCATTCAGCAATGTTTTGCAGTCTTTGTTGTACGAATCTTTCTTCTCTGTGGTCAAATTTATTCTTAAGTATTTTGTTGTTTTTGATGTATTGTAAATGGAATTCTTTTCTTAATTTCCATTTTGGATTGTTCATTGCTAGTATATACCAAATGCAGTTGATTTTTGCAAGTTGATTGTGTATTCTGGAACTTTGCTGAATTGATTTATTAGATCTAACTGTGTGTGTGTGTGCGCAAGTGTGTGTATAGTCATTAAGAGTTTTTACATATAAGAGCACATCATCTGATAACAGATAGTTTTACTTCTTCCTTTTCAGTTTGGATGCTTTTAATTAAATTTTTCCTTTCCTAATTGCTCTAGCTAGAATATCTAATACTATGTTGATAGAAGGGTGAAAGTAGATATCCTTGTTTTGTTCTAACCCTGGAAGGATTTTAGTTTTTCATCATTGAATATGATGTCAGCTATGGGTTTTTTATATATGGCCTATTTATCATGTTGAAGAAATTCTCAGTTTATTGAGTATTTTTATCATGAAAGGGTGTTGAATTTTATCATATAAATTGAGATGATTGTGGTTTTTTTTCATTCTATTACTATGATGTGTTACTTTGCTTGGTTTTTGTAAATTGAACCATCTTTTGCATTCCAAGGATAAGTCCCAGTTGCTAGGGTGTATAATCCTTTCAATATACTATTTATTTATTTATTTATTTATTTATTTATTTATTTATTTATTTGAAATATATTTGACATACAGCATAGTAAAAATTTAAGATGTACCACTTTAATTTGATATGTTAAATATTATGTAGATGCTGTTGAATTCGGTTTGAGGATTTTGTTGAGGATTTTTGCATCGATATGAGGGATATTGGTCTGTAGTTTTATTTCTTCTTTTTGTAGGGTCTTTGGTCTCGGAATTGGGGAAATCCTACCTCATATAATGAGTTAAAAAATGTCTTTGCTTTGATTTTTTGGAAGAGTGAGAAGGATTGGTGTTAATTCTTTAAATATTTGGTAGAACTCACCAGTGAAGCCATCTGTTTCTTGGCTTTTCTTTGTTTGGAGGTTTTTGATTACTGATATAATCTCCTTAATAATTATAGGTTTATTCAGTTTTTCTATTTTCTTCCTAAGTTGCTTTCTAAGAATTTATTCATTTCACCTAGGTCATCTAATTTGATGGCTTATGATTGTTCATAGTATTCTCTTAAAATTCTTTTTATTTCTGTGTAGTAGGTTAAAATGTACCTATTTTCATTCTTGATTTTAGAATTTGAGTCTTCTTTTTTCTTAATCTAGCTAAATGTTTGTCAGTTTTGTTGATTTTTTTTTCTTATATGCAGTTCTTTGAGCTTTTTGGATTTGTAAATTCATGTGTTTCATCAAATTTGCAGTTTTCAGCTATTATTTCCTCAAAAAAAATCTCTAGTCCTCTTTTTCTCTTCTACGACTCTCGTAATGCTTCAGAATTTCTGTTTTGTTTCTTTTTATAATTTCTATTTCTTTAGTTCTTTGTGCAGGTTTTCCTTTAGTTTTTTGAGCATACTTAGTATAGCTAGAACTTTAGTTTAGAAAGCTTTTAAGGGAAGCTGTTTAGCTCCAATAACAATGATTAATATTTGTGCTGACCTGGCACTGACACTGCTAGATACTGGACTTACCACAATGAGTCAGGCACAGCCCCTGCCTTTGAAGAACTCCCAGACACCTTGAACAGATAATTTCAAAGCAGTGTGGCTAAGTTCTTCACAGGAGGGTGGGGGAACATGAGGAGTTCAACCTGGAGGATGAGATATATTCCTGTTTCAAATGACACCTGAACAGAACTTGGAGAAATGTGAGCTGTGGGGAGGAGAGAGCTGTGGCTGTGTTGGAAAGTATTCTAGGCAGAAGGAATTGGCATGAGGAAAGTTTTCAGGCTAGTAATAAATGCAATATTGTATGCTTTCTGAGAAAATGATTCAAACAGTTAAATTAGAGACAAAACACTATAATATGAGTAATTCATATTTTGATAAAAGCATGCACAAGCCCTATAGGAACCCTTTAGAACTTCATAGGAAGACACAGGGCAGTCCTGTCACAGGAGGTTCTTGGGCTAACAAGTTTTAGGTGACTGGAAAGTAGCTGGGTGGAGGTCATTTCCTGCAGGATGGGTAGGTGTAAATAGGGAATGAAAAAGTGTGGCAAATCTTCTATGAGGAGCTACCAAGAAGTTCATTATAAATGGTGTGGATGCTGCTTGGGGTAGTGGGCTGCACAAAGAAGGGGAGGGGTTGCTGTGAGAGTTGTGTCATAAAAGGCCCGTGTGATCTTG